TTCAAAGTTTTTATTGCTGAACCAAAATTTGTTTTTTTTGAAAATTCATTCAGGCCATTCGAAAGATAATAAAAAAACAAACAACTTTTTTAAATACCATTTTAAATGCTATATGGGTAATAAGACATTTAGAGAGCTTTCAAAGTTTTTATTGCTGAACCAAAATTTGTTTTTTTTGAAAATTCATTTAAGCCATTCGAAAGATAATAAAAAAACAAACAACTTTTTCAAATACCATTTTAAATGCTATATGGGTAATAAGACATTTAGAGAGCTTTCAAAGTTTTTATTGCTGAACCAAAATTTGTTTTTTTCGAAAATTCATTCAGGCCATTCGAAAGATAATAAAAAAACAAACAACTTTTTTAAATACCATTTTAAATGCTATATGGGTAATAAGAGATTTAGAGAGCTTTGAAATTTCAAAGTTTTTATTGCTGAACCAAAATTTGTTTTTTTTTAAAATTCATTTAAGCCATTCGAAAGATAATAAAAAAACAAACAACTTTTTTAAATACCATTTTAAATGCTATATGGGTAATAAGATATTTAGAGAGCTTTGAAATTTCAAAGTTTTTATTGCTGAACCAAAATTTGTTTTTTTTGAAAATTCATTTAAGCCATTCGAAAGATAATAAAAAAACAAACAACTTTTTCAAATACCATTTTAAATGCTATATGGGTAATAAGATATTTAGAGAGCTTTGAAATTTCAAAGTTTTTATTGCTGAACCAAAATTTGTTTTTTTTTTAAATTCATTTAAGCCATTCGAAAGATAATAAAAAAACAAACAACTTTTTCAAATACCATTTTAAATGCTATATGGGTAATAAGACATTTAGAGAGCTTTCAAAGTTTTTATTGCTGAACCAAAATTTGTTTTTTTTGAAAATTCATTCAGGCCATTCGAAAGATAATAAAAAAACAAACAACTTTTTCAAATACCATTTTAAATGCTATATGGGTAATAAGACATTTAGAGAGCTTTCAAAGTTTTTATTGCTGAACCAAAATTTGTTTTTTTTGAAAATTCATTTAAGCCATTCGAAAGATAATAAAAAAACAAACAACTTTTTTAAATACCATTTTAAATGCTATATGGGTAATAAGACATTTAGAGAGCTTTCAAAGTTTTTATTGCTGAACCAAAATTTGTTTTTTTTTTAAATTCATTTAAGCCATTCGAAAGATAATAAAAAAACAAACAACTTTTTCAAATACCATTTTAAATGCTATATGGGTAATAAGATATTTAGAGAGCTTTGAAATTTCAAAGTTTTTATTGCTGAACCAAAATTTGTTTTTTTTGAAAATTCATTCAGGCCATTCGAAAGATAATAAAAAAACAAACAACTTTTTTAAATACCATTTTAAATGCTATATGGGTAATAAGACATTTAGAGAGCTTTCAAAGTTTTTATTGCTGAACCAAAATTTGTTTTTTTTTGAAAATTCATTTAAGCCATTCGAAAGATAATAAAAAAACAAACAACTTTTTCAAATACCATTTTAAATGCTATATGGGTAATAAGACATTTAGAGAGCTTTCAAAGTTTTTATTGCTGAACCAAAATTTGTTTTTTTCGAAAATTCATTCAGGCCATTCGAAAGATAATAAAAAAACAAACAACTTTTTTAAATACCATTTTAAATGCTATATGGGTAATAAGAGATTTAGAGAGCTTTGAAATTTCAAAGTTTTTATTGCTGAACCAAAATTTGTTTTTTTTTAAAATTCATTTAAGCCATTCGAAAGATAATAAAAAAACAAACAACTTTTTTAATTACCATTTTAAATGCTATATGGGTAATAAGATATTTAGAGAGCTTTGAAATTTCAAAGTTTTTATTGCTGAACCAAAATTTGTTTTTTTTGAAAATTCATTTAAGCCATTCGAAAGATAATAAAAAAACAAACAACTTTTTCAAATACCATTTTAAATGCTATATGGGTAATAAGATATTTAGAGAGCTTTGAAATTTCAAAGTTTTTATTGCTGAACCAAAATTTGTTTTTTTTTTAAATTCATTTAAGCCATTCGAAAGATAATAAAAAAACAAACAACTTTTTCAAATACCATTTTAAATGCTATATGGGTAATAAGACATTTAGAGAGCTTTCAAAGTTTTTATTGCTGAACCAAAATTTGTTTTTTTCGAAAATTCATTCAGGCCATTCGAAAGATAATAAAAAAACAAACAACTTTTTTAAATACCATTTTAAATGCTATATGGGTAATAAGAGATTTAGAGAGCTTTGAAATTTCAAAGTTTTTATTGCTGAACCAAAATTTGTTTTTTTTGAAAATTCATTTAAGCCATTCGAAAGATAATAAAAAAACAAACAACTTTTTCAAATACCATTTTAAATGCTATATGGGTAATAAGATATTTAGAGAGCTTTGAAATTTCAAAGTTTTTATTGCTGAACCAAAATTTGTTTTTTTTTTAAATTCATTTAAGCCATTCGAAAGATAATAAAAAAACAAACAACTTTTTCAAATACCATTTTAAATGCTATATGGGTAATAAGACATTTAGAGAGCTTTCAAAGTTTTTATTGCTGAACCAAAATTTGTTTTTTTCGAAAATTCATTCAGGCCATTCGAAAGATAATAAAAAAACAAACAACTTTTTTAAATACCATTTTAAATGCTATATGGGTAATAAGAGATTTAGAGAGCTTTGAAATTTCAAAGTTTTTATTGCTGAACCAAAATTTGTTTTTTTTTAAAATTCATTTAAGCCATTCGAAAGATAATAAAAAAACAAACAACTTTTTTAAATACCATTTTAAATGCTATATGGGTAATAAGATATTTAGAGAGCTTTGAAATTTTAAAGTTTTTATTGCTGAACCAAAATTTGTTTTTTTTGAAAATTCATTTAAGCCATTCGAAAGATAATAAAAAAACAAACAACTTTTTCAAATACCATTTTAAATGCTATAGGGGTAATAAGATATTTAGAGAGCTTTGAAATTTCAAAGTTTTTATTGCTGAACCAAAATTTGTTTTTTTTTTAAATTCATTTAAGCCATTCGAAAGATAATAAAAAAACAAACAACTTTTTCAAATACCATTTTAAATGCTATATGGGTAATAAGACATTTAGAGAGCTTTCAAAGTTTTTATTGCTGAACCAAAATTTGTTTTTTTTGAAAATTCATTCAGGCCATTCGAAAGATAATAAAAAAACAAACAACTTTTTCAAATACCATTTTAAATGCTATATGGGTAATAAGACATTTAGAGAGCTTTCAAAGTTTTTATTGCTGAACCAAAATTTGTTTTTTTTGAAAATTCATTTAAGCCATTCGAAAGATAATAAAAAAACAAACAACTTTTTTAAATACCATTTTAAATGCTATATGGGTAATAAGACATTTAGAGAGCTTTCAAAGTTTTTATTGCTGAACCAAAATTTGTTTTTTTTTTAAATTCATTTAAGCCATTCGAAAGATAATAAAAAAACAAACAACTTTTTCAAATACCATTTTAAATGCTATATGGGTAATAAGATATTTAGAGAGCTTTGAAATTTCAAAGTTTTTATTGCTGAACCAAAATTTGTTTTTTTTGAAAATTCATTCAGGCCATTCGAAAGATAATAAAAAAACAAACAACTTTTTTAAATACCATTTTAAATGCTATATGGGTAATAAGACATTTAGAGAGCTTTCAAAGTTTTTATTGCTGAACCAAAATTTGTTTTTTTTGAAAATTCATTTAAGCCATTCGAAAGATAATAAAAAAACAAACAACTTTTTTAAATACCATTTTAAATGCTATATGGGTAATAAGACATTTAGAGAGCTTTCAAAGTTTTTATTGCTGAACCAAAATTTGTTTTTTTTTTAAATTCATTTAAGCCATTCGAAAGATAATAAAAAAACAAACAACTTTTTCAAATACCATTTTAAATGCTATATGGGTAATAAGATATTTAGAGAGCTTTGAAATTTCAAAGTTTTTATTGCTGAACCAAAATTTGTTTTTTTCGAAAATTCATTCAGGCCATTCGAAAGATAATAAAAAAACAAACAACTTTTTTAAATACCATTTAAAATGCTATATGGGTAATAAGAGATTTAGAGAGCTTTGAAATTTCAAAGTTTTTATTGCTGAACCAAAATTTGTTTTTTTGAAAATTCATTTAAGCCATTCGAAAGATAATAAAAAAACAAACAACTTTTTTAAATACCATTTTAAATGCTATATGGGTAATAAGATATTTAGAGAGCTTCGAAATTTCAAAGTTTTTATTGCTGAACCAAAATTTGTTTTTTTTTGAAAATTCATTTAAGCCATTTGAAAGATAATAAAAAAACAAACAACTTTTTCAAATACCATTTTAAATGCTTTATGGGTAATAAGACATTTAGAGAGCTTTCAAAGTTTTTATTGCTGAACCAAAATTTGTTTTTTTTTTTGAAAATTCATTAAGGCCATTCGAAAGATAATAAAAAAACAAACAACTTTTTCAAATACCATTTTAAATGCTATATGGGTTATAAGAGATTTAGAGAGCTTTCAAAGTTTTTATTGCTGAACCAAAATAAATAATAATAATAATAATAATAAAAAAACAACTTTTTTAAATACTATTTTAAATGCTATATGGGTTATAAGGGATTTAGAAAGGGTTGAAAAGTTGTTTTTACTAGAACGAATTTTTTTTTTAATTTCTATTCTAAAGGTTGAAATTTTAAATGTGTCCAGTACTTTCTTCCACACTACCCAGGAGGTGAAGCACACCGTGCGTTTTTTTTTTTGCAAGTGGTGTCCCCGGTAGGCCTAGTCCACTTTTGTTAGTAAGTAAGCAAGCATTACTGCTTAGTTTAGGAGGAAAATTTGCAATTAGTAGGTTAATAAGTTAAAATTAGAATTTATAATTTATTTTTTTCAATAACTGTGATTTTTTATAAATTTGAAAGCATGGTATTACATGTTTATAAGATATTACATAGAACTGAATTTTCAAAAAATATGAATTGTGTCTCGGTGATTTATAAAATAAAAATATAATTTTTGTTAAAGATTTTAAAATCAGTCAGTCAGTATGCACATCTTTTTATTGAAATATGTTTAACAGAAGAATTTTTTAAAACACAAAGATATAGCAAGTACATTTAAAAGGCCTCCTCCATCCCCTTACAGCCGATCCCTTGACCTCCTGGGCGCAAATGTACTTACTATATTTTAATTTTAATTTCTATGAAATATCTTTCTTAAATTCTAAACAAATTTGGCAAATAAAAAATTCTTCTTCTGGAGGTTTCTGAAACGTTCCATCTCTATTCCTTATACATCTTAAATGAATGAATCGTTGGCACATTTCGCAATAAATCATTTCCCTAAAACTTTCATCAGAACCGCAATATAAACAATATTCGCGCATATCTTTTGCAGATAACAATAACATTTCTTGCAAACATTCGCGATATGTCTCTGGATTAAATGTTTCGGAAAAGGTTTCACTATTAATTAAACATTTTGCATAATAAATGCAATAAACCCCACAATTAACATTGTCATTCTGCAATGGATACTGATAGGTGTTTAATTTTAAATCTGTCCGAACCGTAGAATCAAAATATTTTAAGTTATACTTATTAAAAAACGTTAAAAATTTTTGAAAAAAGTTTCTCCCATTACTATTATTAATTGGATCTAAATATCCGAAAGTACCGTTTTTTAAATCAACGTAAATAAGGACCCAATGATTATTCCCCTGGTTAAATACCATTAAAATTTTTGTAGCCGAGTTATTAAGATTTTCAATTTTATTCGCTATACCACGCTTTTCTTTGTCAATTTCCTTACTAATCGCACATGATAAAAGACAATAATCCGGATTATTATTGATAAACAAACTAATACTGAATTCAATAACAAAATTATCCAACCACTTTTCATTCTGTTCTATTACCCAGGAAGCTCGTAAGGTTCGAAAAGAAGCAGAATATAATATATTTTGAAAAAATACATTATTCTCAAAGCGACACACGGCATATTCGTGGCTTCGAGTTTGAGAGTAATAATTCTTTGATTTTATTAATCCATTCGAAAAAAATTGCAATGGAATATAATGTTTTACCTGACTGACAATCTCCTGCGATTTTAATTTATTTGAATATAATGCCTTATAATATGAATGAACCCTTTTAGATTTCTTCTTCCATCCTTCCTCACAAATTTCGCGCTTTCGTTTTTTCGACGCGCATTGGCTTTTACCAATGTTAAATTTTTTCATTTCAAAAATACTTACAATATGTTTTCTAATACCCCGTATAACGCGTGAACACTTTTCGGGCATCGTATTATTAAATAAGCTATTTTTTAAAGTACCAAAATATTTTTCGATTGGCGCATTACACGATCTCTCTCCATTAACGATACTTGTCCATAAAGGCAAGTAAGTTATAAATCGTACTAAAATATCGTTGTAAAAATTTGGACTATAAAATTTATTTTGTGTCCCGATTCCGTCATTATTTACTTTAATTAAAACTTTATCCTTCATTAGACAAAAATGTTTATAAAATAACGAACTTTTATAAGTGCTGTCTCTAATTTTATTATTATTAATTGAATCAGTTTTAAACGTTAATTCTATTTCCTCGTTGACAATAATAGCCTGTCCAATATTTAAATTTATGATGTTATTTTTCGCGTAAATTACTGCAAGACTTTCAAGTTTCGAACATGTTAAAACAGTGAATGATTCGAACCATTGTTCTACTTCCCGAATAGTTTTCATATTAGATACCGCGGCTAACGATTCTTTTAAAATTGTCCCTACGTTACTATCGTTATAATGACTATTTATACAATTTACAAAAATTTTCATTAAATGAGCGCAACACAAAGCTAAATGAGTTAAATTATTATTCTGTCCATTATTATATATAATATTGTAACAATTATTAATATAGGCGATGAAAGACATTTCATTAAAAGCCTGACTTAGCGCGTTTAGTTCTGCCATACTAAAATCGGTTACGACTCTATCAAAAATTGGCCAAGTCATAGAAAAATTTGTCCAAAACGTTTTAAAATGTGACAACCACGCCGAAATTGTCGTTATATCGTGTCGACTGGAAATGAAATCTGAAACCGAACACACCGTACCGGATTCTCCTGAACTGTCTTTTAGGCGAATAACTATAGAATACAACAAAATTCGTTTGGTTTCGACTGTTTTAGGTTTTCTTACTATGGATCCGGTAGCATCAACATATGCAGTTATTTTTTTTAATGGGTGCGCATCCCTAATTGCATTTTTTAATAAAAACATTTGTTCCTCTCCATGAACATAAGCAAATAGAGGTTCCCCAACAAGCTGGATATAATTTGGATTTTCACGCCTCATTAATAGAAGATCAATTACATCATCCGAATCGCGATCAAGTTTTCTTTTATTATCCGAAATTATGTTTCTATATACGCCGTGAGATTTAATTTTTTGTAAATGATTACTCTCTAAAATATTTTTACTAGATTTTAAAATGCAATCCGTAGCCATGTGTAAAGGTTTTTTATTTTTATATTTATCCCCTAATAATTTTCTTTCTATTCCCTTTACATGTCTGGTCAACAATTTCGAATGACAATAATCAACACACGAACTGAAAACTTTAAAATGGTATAGAGGTTGATCCATATTGTTATGAAAGCTAATTTTAAATACAAATGATTTACATTCGATGTGACCACAATAAGCATAAATGCATAAATTTGATAAATTTTTCGAAAAATAATAACTCCTAACATTTATAACGCATACATTATTTACAAATTCAAAAAGTTTTTCTTTAAGAAAATAAACATAAATTCCTTCCTTTAATTTATTCCCACCCTGATAGATTGAATGCCACTCTTCTTTAGAAATATAAAAATCTCCCTCAAAAATTGGACAAATATAGGTGCGCTTTCTATTATCAACAATAGATTTATTCGCTATAAATACATTCTTGCAACCAACGGGCAATATTTGTCTATCACGCGATAATTTAAAACTATTTTCAAACATGTTTCGTATAGGTATATCAATATCAATCTCATCATCTGTAACGCAAGGACTAGTATTTTCAAAATCATTAAAAACTCTATCATAATTATTATTAATATCATTATCATTAATATTATTACTATTATTAAATGTGTCTACTGACTCTACTGACTGTCTAGATGTTGATAGGGATGGAATATTTTTAAAAAAACGTGAGATTTGATCGGTATTTCTTATTAAAATTCTTAAAATATTGACTCTCGTGAAATATGTGTTCTCTCCGTAAAATTCCAATGCTGCATTACAAACGACTTCATCCCTATTTTTCAATTGAATAGCGTCATTATAAGAAATTGATAAATTATTAAAATATTCAGCTAACTGCAATCTATCTATTCGTCGCTTTGGTTTAAAATTATTATTCATTTTATTATTATTTATTATAAATTGTAAGTTCACCGCCAGTTATTAAAAGTTTAAATTATAAATACTTTTATTAAAATAGGTATATTGAAATCTACAATACAAGCTTACCATGCAAAATTATCTAACTAAAAAGGTATAA